TTGAGACAGGGTCTGGCTCTGTTGCCCAGGCTGGAGTACAGGGGCACAATCACAGCTCACTGCAACCTCGGACTCCCCGGCTCACGCAATCCAGCTGCCTTAGCCTCCTGCGTAGCGGGGTCTACAGGCTCACACCACCAGGACCGGCTAATTTTTAAATTACGTGTAGAGATGCCATCCTGCTGCATTGCCCAGGCTGGTCTTGAACTCCTGGACTCAAGATGTCCTTCCTCCTCGGCTTCCCAAAGTGCTGGGATTACAGGCGTGAGACACCACTGCTGGCCTGGAATGTTCTCTAAAATGTGTGAGCACCAGCCGGGCACAGAGGCTCGTGCCTGTAATCCCAGCACTTTGGGAGGCCGAGGTGGGTGGATCACTTGAGGCCAGGAGATCAGGACCAGGCTGGTCAACACAGAGAAACCTCCTCTCTACTAAAAATACAACAGTTAGCTGGGCATGGTGGCAGGAGGCTGGGGCAGGAGAATCACTTGAACCCAGGAGGTGGAGGTTGCAGTGAGCTGAGATTGTGCCACTGCACTCCAGGCTGGGTGACAGAGTGAGACTCCGTCAAAAAAAAAAGTGTGAGGCGGGAAGGGCTGAGGCCATTCGTAGGAACTGGGCATTTATGTGCCTCCTGCTGAATACCTGGATCCCTGGATCCTGGAAGGGGCCCCGGGGGGAGGCAGATGGGTCTCCCACACCTTCCTGTGGTCCTAGAGGGGTGTGGGGCGGGGAACCCCCAGACCCACCCAGGTAGCCAGGTGCAATGTGAGCACCCCCACCCCATTGAGTCTGCCCATTGGGTGTTGGGTGTGCCCGCCTTCCAGGTGGGGAGACTGAGGCACAGCTTGAGGGCCGCACAGCCAGGCGGTGGACCTGGAACCCTGGTCGCCCTCCCTCCTCCGCTCAGGGCAGCCCTGAGCCAGGTGCCTGGCGAGGTTACTCACAAAGCAGATGCCGGCGCTGCGTCGGGGCACGAACGTGCACACATTATGCTCCCGGCACAGGAAGGTGACCACGGTGACATTGAGCTCCTGCAGGACCCGGGCCACGGGGTCGTGGGTGCCCAGGCGGCCCCAGCCCATGGCCAGGCACTGGGTGCCGTGGGGCACCGACTGGTCTTGCTGCGGCAGCTGGACTGTGGCCACGGAGGCGTTGAGGGTGGCTGGGCGGCTCAGCTGGGGCAGAAGGTGGGCGGGGGTGAGACGCTGCCCGAGGCCCCCGAGGCCGCCGGGACCGCCCTCCCACCACGTCCACTGCCTCAAAACGCCTCCCACGGGCGTCACACATGCTGCTCCCTCCACCTGGACCCACCAACTCCTTTGTCCCATTCTACACTATTGTAGTCACTCATTTTTTCTTTTTCTTTTTTGAGACAGTCTCACTCTGTCACCAGGCGCCAGGCTGGAGTGCA